AACCAATTAATTGGTTTTCCATTATTTCTTATGGGAAAAATTCGATCAGAACTCGAGTCTGGAACGGATTAAGTTTGAGAACCGAGGTATCACTGTATCTGGGAAGTACTGGGAGAAATGCAATGGAATGGGAGACTGCACAGATTGTCGCGGGAGTGTCAGAGAGGTTACTACAGTTCTACTACAATTAGAGGGAAACGTGCTGCAATGTTCCATAATTCATTTTTAACTGCATGTATTTGTTAGTGCTTCACATTCCAACAGTTGTGTTATAAAGTTTTTTTTTGATTAAAAGTTTAGTAGGGATGTTGGAGTACAAATTGGCACCGTCAGGGGTTACAGACAGATGCGGTGTGCCGTACCCACAAGCCAAATGACCCAGCAGGGGGCACAACAGAGCCAATTGCGACAATGTAGACCTAAAGTGTACAGATGTGGTGTGGTGATGGGGGGGGGGGGGTGTCAAACAGGTGGGGGCATAAAAAAAAAAGTCTCTAATCATATGGAAACCAGTGTACGCACAGTACAGTGCACGTCATGGTAATGCAGGTTAAGCCCTGTCCAATCTGAGTCTACAAACTGGAAAAGGACTGATAATCTGCTCCTATAGCACTAATCTCCTGTTTCCCTATAACCTCACTGTAGCAGTTACCAAGGTCTGGAGCTGCTTATCACCACACAGTACATCACGCTGGTGTGTCAGCACCCTGTGTCCAAACCGAAGGATGGTACACGGGACAGAGAGAACAGACAGATCTTAACCCGATGACGAGAGACTGACGTCACACAGAACCATTGCTTAACTTGATAATGAGAGGTAGAACCCTAAATTAACCCAATTATCTTACAAAGCACAGGACCCATAATTTAAGGACGAGAAGCCACATATCGTGCCCCAAATACCTCACAAACACAGTGGCAGAAAACACATACATAAGGCCCTGAAAACGAGTGAGAACAAGCGAGAAACTCACTGAAGCCATAATTCACCTAATGAAAAAACACAAAGGAACCCTTAATCAACCTAAGGATATGAAGGACACCAAACATAGAAGCCCTAATTAACCGAAGGAAGCGGCTTCTCATTAATTCCTCAACAGGAGTCTAGATATATGACGCAGACCGGAACATGTCCAGACAGAGCCCTTACATGAGACAGCGCTCTCGAGTGCGTAATCAAACAGAAGAAACACACAAACTGAATAGGAGAACGCCAACACACCAAAATGTCCATGTGGGGTTGGAGAGCATGGCTGAATACAGCTCAAACGGCGAGACTTAAAACCTAGGAGACAATGCACAGAAATTTCACCACAACTGGATTCGACTCTGAGTCTGGGTACATTTGACAGCCCGAAATAACACCATTCAAAACTCACAGGTCTAGGCACCATAAAAACAAAACATTACTGTTGTCTTATTAAATGCATATGGATTTTGTTTGACAGTCAGCCCTCAGGAGAGCATTATGTTAAGTACTGCAGTTTAGAGACCAGGGAACGTATTACGGCCAAGAGAAAGAGTCTGGGGGGAGCGTGAATCAGCAGCTGATACTGGTGACTTTAATAAACTCTTATCCAATTCGGGCTGATCCCAGGAAGGCAGAGCATCGCGCATGGGATGACAGTTCATGGGAGGACACACACACACACACACACACACACATACACACAAAGAGCATGTGTTTTGACTGTTAGAGGAAAAAAATACTTATTCTTTTCGTCACTTTCATCAACAGTGCCATTCAAGCTGACACAGCCCCTAGCTATCTCTGTACAGTACACTAAGTACTATGGTTGCAAAGATTTCTTTTTTGTGTAAATTGGCATCCTTCTCGCGCGTCTTTGTACCAACAAGTATTCGGGGTTTTGTTGCACGGTATCTTTCCTTCCTTTCTTCATCAGGTGAGAAACCCCCCGGCGTAAAAAGCGTGTATTATTACACATTGGCACAAAAAACAAAAGTTTTCCCGTAAGACCGAAAAAGCCGCTTTGGTGCGCATCGCCGAAGGAACCGATCCTTTCGCAGGGCAGCGCGGCCGAAATGGGCAAGGAAAACAGGACGAGTGTTTCCGCCTACCTCCGAAAGATAATTACAATCAGTATCAGATAACACTGAAACGCAAGTGTAACACAAGCCGAGCTGATTGAGAATCTCTGGTTGCGAAGAAAAATGTGCCAGATCCTCGCTAATAATATATCTATAGAGTAAGAGTTAAGACCTTGATCCACGCAGCATGTAGAGCCGGTGTTCTGTCGAGTTGAGCTACTTTGTCGAGTTAGGCTACTGTAGGGCTAATCGATAGCCCTAACCCTAACCCCTAAAACCTAACCCTAATCCCCAAACGGTGGAACTGCACATGCGCAGAAAGGCTCGATAGCACGTCTCTATAGGTAGCTTAACTCGTCAGAACACCGGCTCGTTTCGGGGCTCCGGATTACCTGGAGGATTCAGCGGCGAAGTCCCCCCCATCCAGCAGGCGGACCTTGCAGAAGAGCACCCCGTTGACGAAAGGCACGGCAGACAGCTCTTCCAGGGTGAAGTGCGTGTGAAACTTGAAGCGCTTCTTCTTCATGAGAAACGCCATTTGACACACGGGGGTCCGTGCTGAGCAGACCGCTATCCGGCCTGGGGGTAAACAAACAAAGAGGTGTCTCACACAAAAGCCGGGCACAAGCCACTTATGTGACATCGGCTTTGGGGATACGTACTCTGTCGCTTCAGTCTGGAGCCTGGAAATCTGTCCTGATAACCATCCGTCGGTTCTGCATCTCCGTTTTAATCTTCTACGATATGTTCAAGATCTGTGATAAAAAAAATAAACGTAATTATTATCTAGCCAAGATCTGTAATATATTTTTTCATTAAAGTCGATGCATATGCCGACAAGATCTGCAAGAAAAAAATATTTTTTTAAAGTCAATGCATAGTCGCCAAGATTTGCAATTAAAATAAAAATGATTTTAAAAACGCATATACTGAGAAGGGAATTAGTTATGATTTTACCCGGCATAAACAGCTCTTTACAACTTCTCTAGAGGTGATAGGGTTATTGATCCTATTTTCAAGTTCGGTTCAGTTATTAACCAGTTGCTCAGCAAGAAAAATGACAAAGAGTTAAGTCCCCCATTCCCGATTTTGCAGTCTAATTTTCCACGTTGGGTTTAAATAAAAAACATGCCCCTGGACCGAAGCGGCTTTCGATCGTATCACATACCCACAGTAACCCGGGATTTCCGTGCGAATCGGACCGGCGGACCTCGGCCAGCAGGATCCAGTCCCCGACGCCACAAGCCGGATGGTTCGAACCGGGACCCTCGCAGGGCTGCAGCCTGACAGTCCTTCTCCTCGATTGCTGCTGGAGGAGAAATACCGCCCCGGAAAAAAAAGAACAAAAAAAGCTTAATCAGTATTTCTCAGTCGGGTTGCATGGCGGTGTGCGGCGGTCCAGTCCCCCAGAAGCGAGCAACGGGGAGCGACCAGCTGGCAGTAACGGGTGTGAGGGGCCGTCGATACACCCGTTACGGCAGATGTCACGGACTAACCGACTGTAGCTACGCTTCTCGGGCTTTGTGCCGAAGGCACGTCCACCCCGTTCCGTGACGAGGAGAGGGCGGAACGCGCCCCCTAGCGTTCACGGTGCTCACTACAGCGACCCGCTCATTGTTCGGCGGCTGCTCTGTTTACATTGTGCGTTAAATCCTTTAAAATGCAACGAGGACTTTTTATAAGGGCTTTTTCTCGGATGCACGCAGTTTTAAACGTCAGACATAGGTCTATACATGCATGTAGGGAAGCGTGTGATTTAAAGAGCGATTTTCGGATTGTACGTATCCCAGGGAAATTATCTGGAACTGGTTCAGCAAGTGGAGCTTAAACAAGAAGAAGAAGAAGAAGAAGAAGAAAAACTAACCGCCGTTTGTCCCCAGGGATAGAAACATATGTTCTTCACTTTCGATGCACCTCGCCCACTCTCAGACCTGCAGCCTTTAAAACTACAGAGTTTGTACCAGTGTAAGAACAATTGCACCAGGGGTGTCAGAAGCATTTTGAATGTGGGGGGGACACAGCGCTGGGTGAACTAATATTTTATGTTAAATCTGAGGGGGTGTAAAAACGAATAATTATTAAATGTGAGGGGGACACATCCCCCTCAGATTTAATGGCGGCGACACCCATGAATTGCACACTGACAAGCATCCTGAATAGAAGAGTAATGTATAGGACCTTCCGCTTGCAATGCAACTTTATTACCTAAAGATGATAACGAGTATCCTGTTTCAAAACTTTCAGTACGGCCAGTAGTCTTGATAAAGTGAATTATTATAAGACTGCGTGTGTCTCTGTGTGTGTGTGGTACCACTGACACAAATGAACTCTAGAAATGTGATTTGCATTGGTAGCTGATAACAGTTCGACTGTCAGATCTGTGTGTGGAGTTTGCATGTGTGTGGTACACTGGATTCCACACACAGTTGTTTGATAACCAGGTGACTAAAATACCCTTGGTGTCTGATCATGTGAATGTAAGTGTGTTTGTTGAAGTGTCATCGTGTCAGTACACAAGTGTGTGTTTGTGTGTGTTGTCCTCTTCAGTGTGTACCTTGACTTGCATCCTAATGAATAAGTGCAGAAGGGTTTCCATGACCACCTGTGAAATTATTCTGCACATTGCGTTTTACGGCTGTGGAATTTGTCCACAGGATCATGAATCATATTCACAATGTAGGTCTGGGACGTTTCTCTCAGTCAGTCCTTACAAATCACACGTCTCTCATATTGACTCCACACACAATCTTTCCCTCTCTGTACCAACTCCTCCATTCGCTCTTCAATATCTCAGTAAAGGGATTGCTGTCACCCTGATGCCGATTGGAAGTCCTTCCAGGGATATGACACCAAATGAAAGTACCGATATAAGCACCCATTCACTATTAAAGCTTAAAAGCTTTTTAAAAATCCAGCCATGGTGCTGTCATGGTGATGAATGATGAAACAAGCCCAGTCATTGAACACCAGAGGGAGGTGCAGTTCAGTCTGTATAATGTGCTGAGCTTAAAAACACAGCAATGGCTCAATAATGTGTGCATCACGTGTCACATAAAAGGTAAATAAATTAATGGTCAGGTGACACCAAAACGACAGATTCATCCATCCATCCTACCTTTTAGCCATGGATGGGCACCCTGCATCGTGTACGGTATGTCAGTCCATCAGAAGACACACACACACACACACACACACACACTACATAAAGGTGCCAGTTTGCCTCCACATGCTGGAGAAAACACGGACTCCATGCATGTAGATGAGGGTTTGAACCCCCAACACTGGAGATGTGAAGCAGCTGCTGCACAGACGAGGTGTTTGTGATCCCAGAGCACTGCAGCATAAACCATCTGATGCATTCATGCCTCTTTCTCCCAAGAAGGCCACGGCTTATCCACAGGCACAATCCATCTTTTCATTTTCAGTGTCAGTTTGTTGGCCTCTATCCTTTCCACAAGTCACCACATCTTTTTTGACCCAAATATATAAACCTACTGATAATTTTCGTGATATTCACGTGCATTAAAAATTCCCCTCAGTAAATATTCATCCATGCATTCATCTTCCATAACCACTTATCCAGTACAGAAGCACCTTGAGCCCACAGCCTATCACAGGAAGGGAACGTACTGCATAGCAAGGCGGAGCCACAGGGTCACTAGCCGCAGCTGAAAGCTGATTGGCCCCAGAGTATCCCCTCTCCTGTCACTCACCAATTCAAAACACATCACTCGCTAATAAATTATAGCCCCACTTATGCCTGCAATCTTAAAAACATCATAAAATCACCCCTGAACGAAAGGCCAGCATAAGGTTGACCTGACTGTGTGATTTTGTATTGTTGGGGGAAAATGTGTATCTCCCCCCCCCCCCCCCCCGCCACTCTGATCAGGATAACCAGATGGATGTATGAATGTTGGAATAGGAAATACCCAAAGGAAATCTGCACAGAATTTGAGCAAACAGGCAGGACTGAAATCCTCTGTTGGGGATACACCACCCTTCAAGTAAATATCATAACATCATACATTTCATGATCACTATATCAGCGGCAATTCAAACTAGATATTTTATTTCAGATGAAAATATGAAACAGTATAAACATCTGCTTCAGTACAAAAAGTACAACGCTGCTGAATTTATTATCATGCTTTGATGCAACACACATACATTTTCCATATTTATGATGAGCCAGGTATTTTCCAACATTCCCTAATAAACCAAAAACAGAAAATGTCAACAGATTCCTTTTCCCCCAAACACCTTGATGAAACGGTCAACACATGCTTGATGGGGTCTCTTCCTTCCATTCTGAAAGTGACAAAACCCACTCACCCTGTGATCATAACTGCTGGGCAGGATGGACAAGAGATATGTGGTTAGCCTAGTATTGCATGTGCCTCTTACCAAGTTGTTACATTTTAACTTTTAAATATCTGCCAACCTAAGATTCTCTAAGACGAATCTGTAATACTTCCTTGAAGGAGATTTTCTTCTAACCACAGAAAGCTGCACACTGACATTAATTTGTCAGAATGTTACTTTTTCCATACATAATATATAAAACAGCATTTAATTTCAAAAACACCATTTTAAATCTTCTGTTGCTTTGCAACAGAAATGATTTCCCAAATATGCCAAGCACTACTCTTAGAGCAAGACACAAAACTCAGCTTGGTAGCATAAAATCAAACATAAGAAATGATACAGTGCTTCATAAAAAATAAAATTTACATTTACAGGTCCTTTGACAGTTTTTCTTCCCGTAGCATTTAAAGTGAGGAATTGAGTAGCTTTCAAAATATTTACCATTTGCATCTCTATATTCCTGCTTGTTGGTTACAACAGCCTAAACACATACATACGCACACACGCACACACACACGCACGCACACACACAGCCTACGGAACATCTTCTGCATGCTGAGCTGGGTTGGATTTGCTCTCGGCTCCGTCAGACTGCGCCCCAGGAGCAGAATTGTTCATATTGCTCTGCAGAAACTTCCGGAAATCCTTGAGGGCTGGCCGGAACATCTGGATGAGTGCGATGAGGGCAGCCTGCGTCCCCTCCAGGGCCTGCGCCTGCCTCTCCTGCGCGCAGGCCTGCGCTTCCTGGGAGCGCCGGATCATCTGCAGCAGGTCGTTCTGGCTCTCCAGGTGCTGAGCGATCTCGCGCACGTGCAGGTTGGTCACCTTCTGCTCCTGCAGCAGCTTGGCCGAGTTCAGGGCGATGCGGCTCTTCAGCTCCTGGGGTTTGATGGAGCACTCGGCCTGCGCAGACAGCATCTCCACCGGTGCCTCGGTGGTCACTGTGACGGGGGTCTCTGTCGTGCAGTACTCCACCACGCCTTCTTCCAGCGTGTGGAACGTCGTCTCTGCAGTTCAAAAGAGCCACAGGAGAAGGAGCTGGGGACCTGCCCATTCTCTCTGAAGTTTTACTACTTAATTCTTTCCCTGCATAACATCTTTTAAAAATCAGAACCATATAGTTCACATCACTAATACATCTAATAAGCCTGAAACACTAACTGTGAAATAAGGTATTTATATGAATATTTTCCATTGCAACGAACCACTTTTTAAACATCTCACAGTTTTGAATGTTAGAATTCTCTGCTCTTAGATTATTTTTTTAACATAAAAATGTTTAAAATAAAAAATCCAAAAGACATGTTTTTTTTTACCTTCTAGGGTTTTCTGAACTTCGCAAGCCGCAGCAGATGCCGTGGGAATATCTACGATTAAAGAGAAGAGTCGGCACAAACTTTAACTTCTTGCCCGCAGGACTTTAAACAGCGTAATTTGACTTTTTCATATAGCGCCTTGTAAACAGTCGCCCCAAAGCACTTGAAAAGAACGTGACGCAATCCATAACGACATCGTTTATACAAAATAATGCATGGAAAGGGGAAAATGGGAAGAGAGAAATATAGCAAGCCAGAAGAGGAGAGGAACCAAAAACTACCGACTAAGGAGAAAAAAAAACTCTGGGGGGTCAATTGGCTGCCCAACTGCCCTGAGCAAGTTAACATCATAAAACAGAGAGAAAATGAGCCTGCTTTAATAAATGGGTGTAAACTCTGGTCAGAGACCATTAGTCAGCCAGTTCTCCATGCAGATTTTTTGTAAGCTGACAAGATATGTTGCAAAAAAAATAAAAAGTGGAGAGTCCCAAAATGATCCCTTAACTCTAACCGGCACGTGCAGAGCCCCCTTAACCTGGAAGAAAAAAGGCGTGTCGTCTTGCATTAAATTTGGATTACCCGCGACACGGGGACCGGCGTTACTGAACCGGGAGGGGGCGGGCTGCGCGCACACGCGCCGCCGCCCAGAGCCTGCCCGTCCCGGCGTACGGAAACTTACTCTGCGTTAACGTTACTGTCGTAGCCGAGCTCATGGGCATAGGCACGGCGATTTCCGTGCCGCCGTCTCCCGCAGGCAGGCTGATGATGGTCGCCTCCCCAAGCAGGTTGCAGATCCTCTGCTGCATGGAAGTGAGGATGACGGGGACCGAGGTGCAGTCGCCTGTCCCCTCCATCGCCGCCCGCGCCTGGGCCACTTTGCGGCGGACCTCGGTCTTTAAGTCGGACCACTTTTTCTTCACCTCGGCCAGCTCCCGCTGACAAGTTGTCACGGCGTTGACCCGCTTTAGGATCTCTACCCACGCGTTGTTTTTCGTTATATGTGTGACTCCAGCATTGAAGTGGTTAACCAGTATGTGCTTTTGTTTCTCCATTTCCTCCACTATAATTTCCACTTCCCTCTCTGAGAAATTCATTTTTCTCTTCTTCGCCTGCGATGCCATTTTATTAGAAATCGCCCGTTTTAAAAAACCCAAAATGTGCGTAGTATACGTAAAAATAGTAGGTTTTTCTTAATAGGACTGCGCAACGGAATGGCTTCCAGAATCGACTTCTTCCTCTTCCGAACAACGCTTACGTCCGTAATGGCCGAAGTACCGCCTTTTTAAGAAATCTGTGCTCCCATTGGTCGGTTTTCGCCCAGCTGCTCAAAATGTCATTGCTGCCATTCGCTGAAGTAAATTTCACTCATGCACAACGTAGGCATCGTAGTGGCAGATGTGCTCTGGGACGAATAGCCGGTGGGATTTAGCGCTAATGGTTTCGTGCTGTGTATGCTTATATTCGGTAAAAATACATGTGTGTTTAACATGCGTAATGCATCGAAGAGTGACGTGAGATACTTAAAAAGAAATCTTGGTATTCCCTTACGTGGTTATCGCTTTGTGGGGACGATGCTTTGTGTTACTTTGCATGGGTCCGTAACTGAACACTGACGCGAATCGCAAATATCTACATTTGTATTTGAGTGGGCAGTTTTTTTTTTTGAGAAATGTATAGTTTCTTATTCTTTGTCAGTGTAAGAAAACGACTGTCGCTTGGCACTTTCGGGACCAGTCTGTTTACTGAATAATGCCCTATCGGTATGTGTAAAATACATTTTAGGTAATCTTTATTTGAATGATGGACGTTTACTCGCTTTATTCGTCTTTTGTTCGTGTCTTCTCTGCTGGGACATTTTTCAAATTGCCGTATATGTGTTGCATGCTTGTAATGTAAAAAGCATTTCATAATGCACTGTAGTCAAACCCTCAGACGTTATTTGCCGCTTTGTGCTGGTGTGGTATATTTTCATCTATTATGAATTTTCAGTATGTGAACAAAGATAAAAGACAAAATGTTTGTAAAAATTAACCACTTCGTGTTTTCTTCCAGATGAACTTTTATACATCTGCGCTACTTAAATGTTTCGCGTGTGCAAGTGTGTTACGCAGCAGCACATGGGTCACGCTAGGGGGAGCTAGAGCACACTAAATGCGATGGTATTCAGTGACTTCGAGGAAAAAGGATAGTTCAAAATATATGCTATATATTACTTTTCTGTTTATATTCACTGTATTGTTTGGTTTCAGACTTTCATACTTGTCTGCCCTTTTCCACACAGTCTCTTATGGCTCAAACCATTTTATTTTTTGTAAAATGCATTATAGAGTGTCACCAGGGCAGATAGGACCAGTGTTCCTGCTGGCTGTTTGAGAAACGTGGACATTTGAGACCTCACTGCTATTGAAAATCTCTGAACATAAATGTATAAACTGAACTCATCGGTGCGTCCCCTGAAAGTGAAGTCATTTATGCTGGGCTGGAAAGAATAGAAATGTTAGCAAAATGGTGTGTGGCTCTGTGTTACGATTCTGTGCCTGTGAGTGGAAAGTCTAGTCAAGGTAGCAGAGACAGGAGTGGTTGTGTTAATGGCAAAAGCATTTCTGGTTAGAGCTGGTTGCTTAGTAAAGACATTAGTCATAGAGGTTAACAGACAACTTTTAAACTGTTCACCATAATTTCCTGGAACATTGAATCTGGTGTGTATTTTAAAGGGGAGTTTTGGGCTGACAGGTAAACATTCAATGTGTTGATTTATTTGCCATTTGCACAAGTACATTGAGCTGCTTCTTCTGACATATTTCACCCTGCTCTCATTTGAGATACATACACAAATATGAACAGATGCGCGTGAAGCTTAGGGCTCAGGGGACAGGGTCAGCAATTATCCAGCGCCACTGGGGGGGAGGGGGGTTGAAGGACCAATCAGAGCCACAGAGCCCTAACCAGGTGAGCCACACACCATTACCTGATTCTGGACCTGGACAGCCTTTGGTGGGTGTCTGCAGTGGTTATGTTTCTGGGAACAAGGGGCCCGGGAGGTGAATCTACAAGTGTAATGATTGACTGCTGTTTCTGTCGTATCTACCCTAATTTTACCATGTTATGCCATGAGCCATTTTGGGTGGCTGTTGGGGACCTTTCCTGAGTGTCATGGTGACCCTGTGTCACAGTATATTTTTTTTTTGGGGGGGACTGAAATCGTGACAAGTAGCACAGAATCCGCAATGACATCACAGGGGTGGGGTTTGCTGCGTTATGCTGTCTCTGGATGTTCCAAAGGTCACAAGGCAGCAGACGTCCGGTTCTCCTCTGGAACCCCTCGCAGCACCGAGTGTTTTGTCAGCCACGCGCTTTTGCCTGGGAGTCGTTGAATCTGACAGTGTTGTGTAGGGGCACATCGAAAATCGCAATGTCGTTGTTGAGGGGATCAACGAGAAAGATGGGATTGTTCTCGGAGTCCGTCCTACGCGAATGTCATGTTCCTCAGGAAGGTCACACAGTCCCACGTGGAAGGTTCTGCTGTCCACTCTGCTGTTACACAGAGATATGAATCAAAGTTTGTTTGTCTTATCGGAGAGGAATCTAGGACGTTCAGGACTAAGACATGCACCTACAAATCACAGTATTATCTTTTAGTGTCCATATCAAGAAGATTTTAAATAAATATACGTCAAAGTTAAAAGCAAATAAAAATAAAAAAATTCAGAAGCTTGATAATGTTGTCAGTTACATACAATGAATGATGATTGTATGTTTGCTTACAAGCATCATAAGTGAGATGGTAAAATAAGCTGACCAGAGTAAATAATGTGCAACAACACTCTGTTATTATGATTTTCTGGTGGTTTTATTAAGGGTAATTCAGCAGAATCCTTCTTTGGACTTTAGCCAACAAGCTTTGTGTTTGGAGTCCACATCAACAGCCACCATGCTGCCGTGGAGAAACCTCCTTCTGGAAAATATGTATCCCTGAGTCATACAATTCTCCTCAATGTCCTGACAATAGATGGACTTAATCTGGTTAAGCAAATAACACAAAAGATGCATGTTTCAGTGTCTCTTGTGTACATTGATTCAGCATTAACCTTTTGATACATATTAGTAACTAGTGTTACACTTCACTGGAAGGTCATATTATATTATTGCCAAATATGACAATATACAAAGAACAAGTTGTGAAAGTGATTATCATCTCAATCACTGGAGCAGCAGACTCTAACCCTTGAGCAATGCCCCCCGGTGGGTCCATATACATTTTCAAGTAAGAGGTCAAATTCTATTACGTTAATGACACTTACATGAATGCAGGCGTAGGGATCATTTAAAGTCACAAAGTTGCTCTCACTTTTAAACCTACTGTTTGTTACATAAGCATATGTTTTGTATATATCCATATATGTAAATTAATCTGATTTTTAGTGATGATATACAGAGTAATCGGGTAAAGCTTTAGCAGGTGGTGAACAAGGTACAGGATTCAGCAGTTCTGACCGAGTGAAGGATACATCCCCGTCCAACGAGATGTGTTTATGTTTTGAATTCCTTTCTGCTTACATGCTGCACTGCAGGAAATGAGAAAAGCAAATATTAGGGTGAAATCCCATTCTGGTCAAACTGGCAGCTACCATGATGGCTTTGGGTGGCTGATCAGAAGAGACCAGCCTTGCTGGGTGGCAGGTGCTTTACAAACACTAAACCCAACCCTAACCCTAACCCTTCCATGCCAGTCAGTCCTGACATTTTTGGATTATTATGACTGCACGTATTGTTTGAATACATAAATGTGTAATACAAAGGTTTAAAGGATTCTGTTGTTCTCTTGTACGAATTGACAAAAATTGTCATGCAGTACTTTATAATTTATTTAAAGTAATTTAAAATATGCATTGGTGATAGAAGCATTGAATGAGCGACAAAAAAATGGTATATTATGTAAGGTGCTTTCCATGCCTAGAGGTCTCAGCGGTAATGCAGGAAGACAGTAATGAATCAGAATGGTTCCATAAATGAAAAAGCAAGCAGAAGAGTCACATGTGCAGTTCAAAATATAAACTTGTGCGTAAAAGGGCGACAGCTGAAGTAACAGGATAATACAAGTAGCAGAGAGAAGGTGCCTCTTAAAATCTCCCTGCTGGCCCCCTCTGGTCTTAACTTAGTTCTTGGCACCAGAATCAGTCTGGGATCACGTAGTGAAAGAGGATATCGAATATGCTGCACTTTGCTGCAGGTGGTACAGCGGAGCTGTTATGGAGTGCAGGATTGTTGTATGGATGTGCAATTTGACTCAGTTATGATGTCATGCATCCATCCATCTCTTTTGCTGTGCGGGTTCCTGGTGCATTATGACATCATGACATGAAATGATATTACATGCTAATAGTTATCCTGTTCAGGCTTCTTAACAATGAAGTGTCTGAAAACTACCCATGTTTTGTCTTCATATCAAATAAAGTTTTTAAGTACTGAGGGGGTGACAGGGGGCTTTATGATGCTTATTGTACCATTACTCCTTCATGTAGCATTGCAGAAAATAAATAGAACTATATAATTTTTTTTCTGGTCAGTTGGTGATGAAAGTCCCCTAGACTTTGAGTTCTGGTTTGTCGGACCTGAAACACAAACAGGTCTGTTGAGCTTGGAAGTCAACAAGCATGGAAAAAATTAGGGGAAAGGCTAAGAAAGTTAAGGGATATAGTGTTTTTTATCTGCATCACCTGTTACTTATTATATTTCAAGGTTTTTACTGTGTCTGTATCTGGACAGGGATCAAAACAAGCCCTGGGGGGGTCCAGAAAGTGCACTTTGGCGTGGTGATGTACCCTGGGACCAGGGTGCTGTTGTGTATATAACCCGCATGTCCTGTGTAGCACCATGCACAACAACTCATGTTGTTGTGCATGTTTAGATATGAGCTGACGCAGACAGAACTAATTGGTTAATGATAAATTTCCATGACTGAAATAGGTGACATCTGAAGGGGAAAAAAACAGCAAATTCTTTAGGTTAAGGTCCATTATGTGTTGCTGGTTATGTGAGTTACGTGAGTTATGATTTGTTTGCATTTCTCAACCCAGGCCTCAGGGTCCTCAGACAGTTCACATTTTTGCTTCTCCCCCACTCCTAGCACACCTGAACCAAAGAATCAAATGACCAAGGACACCGAGTACCTGGTACAGGTGTGCTCAGTGATGGGAAGGGCTCTCCGAGTACTGGGTCAACAAAAACACTGCTTTAAATCATTCAGAACAATTTTTATTTGTTTAAACCCCAAAGGTACCTTAATAATATAGTTTAGTGTGACCGACTGCCTTGTACTGAATAAGTGGTTGGAAGATAGATGTTTGGACAAACAGTGTGATTACTGCAATTGTGAAGGGTTTTGAGAGAAATTTGGAGGCTTGTCATAAAGAAAATCCTAGAGCAATAATAGCTAAATCAAACAACCGTTCCCTTATATTTTTCCATAGCTGACTACCTAGTATGTGGTTATCCTGCAGCTTCCCAGGAAGACAGGGTTCCAGTTCATCATGGGGCACGCAGTCACAAACTGTAGTCTATTTAGAGATGCCAGTTCACTTAATTGCATCTTTGTGGACTGCAAGAGAAAATGTGGACAAACATGGGGACACAAGGCAGACGCACATACACAGAATCGAACCCACCACCCTGGAGATTACAGCTATGGTGCAAAACCACAGTTCCAAATTCGAATGACCTGTACGAAAACCAAAAGGGTTGATAGTGTGGACATTTAGGTTTCTCTCCTTAGGGAAACAGTTTCAGTCCATCAGAAAAACCATATCAAGGCACAAGACCAGCTTTTTCCCTCAAGTGATTGCACCATTAAATATCTGATTCACAATTTACCTTTTAGCTTAGTTTAGTTTAGCTATAGTTTTTTGTTTAGATCTGTGTGTACATGGAGCAAATATATCATGTTGAATGGTATGCCTGCATATTTTGCTAATAAAACTGGTCCTGATTATAGACTTTAAAGAAGCTTGTAAGAAAGATGCAAGACCTTTTAATACCTGTCACATGATTGTGGTGCATACATAGGGTACCCCAGACTTAATGTTCCTTTAAAGGTCAATCCAAGACCAGCAGATCTGCTGGACGCACCTGACCGAGTGCTGTGACACTGAGAGTAGCAGGGGAAGGGCCCCCCGCCATACCGCCGGGGTCCCGCACATCACACTTAACGACACCGCTATATTTAGCTGCCAGAGTGAAAGGGGATCTCAGAACATACATGCCCCCCCATCGCACCCGGGACACGCTTAGGTGTACTGCCAAGTCGACCACGTAGACACATCTCGCCATCACCGCATTGTCCTGTATGTCAGCCAAAAACAGAGACAGAAGGACAGGCCTACCCTGTGTTAGGAGGGGGGGGGGGTCATTTTGAGAGCACGTGTCATGGTGCAGCACTTCTGCTCAGTCACCTGGCACCCGGATCCAAGCTGGCAGCAGAACTATGAAGCTGTGTTGAGAGACCTGTGGCTCCAGAAGCCGAGTGGGTCTGACTCCTAACTCATTCAGTGATTGTGTCACCGCTGCCGCATGTTGCACTGTGATCCTGGGGGAATGCTGTTCCCTACCACTGTATACCAGCATATGGATGGAATGACGATAAAACCCACTTAATTTGACTAATGATCCAGTTTGAAGATCAGGGTCAAACCTGGGAGTGGCTGGCAGAGCACACTAGCCCCACCCACCATAGCATTCATAACCTTATTTCTCTCAACACTAGAATGAACTAAACTAAAACTGAGAAAATAAAGAAAAATCGCATTCCTAGCACAAGGTTGGTGTTTGTGGAGTTTGCACCTCCTCCCAGTATCGTTTCCTCCTGAAGTTCAAAGATATGCTGGTAGACTATTTGCCATCTGTAAATTGCAGGTATTTAACACAAAGCCCCCTACTGGCACTGAGATGTACTGCAAGCAATCTACCCCTGCAGTAATGACTGGGGTTGACTGGGACAATAACCACTCTGTCTGAATGCCAGTCTGTGTCCTGTCATGCTGGAACAGGCATAATGTTAAGGACAATGTGGATCGGCTTAGCAGATAGCAATGTGACTTCTAACCACCCGGGTCTGGTTTCTTCCCAGGCTTTGTTTGTGTCAATCTGTGTCTGTATTCATGTGATTCCCCTCCCAGATGCAGAAGACATTGTGTTTAGGTTAGATCAGTGTCTTTAAATTCTCCCGACTGGGTGGGTGCATGTGTACACAGATACATCCGGGGTGTGCTTGGGATAGCCTCCAGGTTCACCATGACCCTGTTATTGGGTAAGTGGTCGTAAAACATGAATGTTATTAATACACCTAGGAGCTTGACAGTAATTTAGGAAAGGTTTTTTACGTTATAAAAACACATTTCATCACAGTATAAAGCGTAATTGATAAAAAAAATACCGATGCAAAATATAATTTCTACTATGAGAAATAATTGTATTTATTGTATGATTCAAAATGTATGCATTTCTAGTCAGAATATCATAAAAAAATTGTCTTCATGGTAAAAGTCTTTTGCAAGAGAGGTGAACTTTAAGTGCATCAACATGGTTATTTGTCTATTTATAAGTTATTACAGTCTTTTTATTCCTATATTTCCCCCATACACCCTCAAAGTTGTAGTTTCCCAATACATGCAACAATAAAACTTAAAAGAGGTATTGAATTATTTCAGAATTTGTGCAATAGGATACATACATCGAGCTTTGAATGTAAGTACATTTTGTCTTTTTTAGAATAATGTAGTTGTATATATTTTCCATATTTACAGTCTTAATGTCTTTTACTTAATACTGTCACTTTTATTCTATGAAGTCATTCTACTAAAAAATAAAACAAGATTAACTTGATCCTATCCATCCATCCATTTCATATACACAGAGGGAAATCATTTTTTGAGAAGTTATTGAGACAAACAATGATACACCTTAATGTTAATCATATTTAAAGGTACACAGAAAAATATTTTCCAGGAATCTCAAAATACTTGGGGACAGAGCCCGATTGAGGCGTATTGTCCCGTGGAATTCCAGTGTTTTACGCAAAGACGAGGGACGGCACACAAATCCCAGCCATGATTAGCCGGAGTCTTTACGTCACTGTTGACGCAGCGAGAGAGTCCTATTGTACCTCCTGAATAGCCAATGAAGTGACGCTGTGCGCCGAAGGCCTTCGACAGTGGGAGGGGCCAGGCGGCTATTCATTAGACCGCGCTTCTGACTTGCCGGTATTTTAAGTCCGCCTTTGGAGTGCGCGGGTCAGGAATTTGGGGACTATTTATTAATTAATTTATTTATTATTTAATATTCGCTGCTTACATTATGCTGTGCCTGTGCCTTTATGTGCCCGTTTCCGACTCGGATCAGATTGAATTTGAATACTTCGAGTCGAACGGATTACCTTCGGAGCTGAAATCTCTCTTCAAATTAAGCCTGTTTCTGCCCTCTCAGGACTTTTCTACCTATCAAAAGTGGCGGAAGGTAAGCATGCAACTTTTTGGTGTGTTTATTCTGGCATGTAAAGTCGTGAAGTCCGTTTCGGTACAGTCTCGCTAACCTGGCATCTTAGCGTTTTAAAAATGAATAGAGCGAAGCCGGTAAGTCACGAGACCCGCCTGATTCTCGTACTTCCTGTGAATCACCTCGAAACTTCCCGGAAAGCGGCACATGTGGCCATATATAGACAAACCGGAATTTGGAGAGTGCTCATTCAGTTTGAATGGCTGTTGCAAAAATACGCGCATTCTTTAGCCTTAATATGCGTGATAATTCTATTGATGGCTAATTGTACTGGACAAGTGACTATCGATGTCGCAATTTTTCCTCAGTAGTTTCTGTCTGACCGAACGAATGATTTGCGAACACTGAATGTATTGATAGTGCGGTTAAATGTCAAATCGGATATAAACGTAAGGAAATACCGCAAACATCTTTAATTAAGGCGATTGAGACAAACAACCTGACTCTTGGTTGGCTGCCTGACCTGCTTGTCCCTAAACAAAACTGTCTTGGCATGGTACAGTGTCAGACTGAAAATTTACTTGAAGGCGCCTGAAATAAGACTATCCGATCCTGTGCATTGCAAGAATCTGGGTACCTGGCTGATACTGAAGTCTAGGCAGTTGCAGTCCTCATCCCCCTTACACAACTCTGTACAAACTGTTACTTCCTTTTCCCCTCCCTAGAAAACCGAGAAAGCTGGGGATCTTGATGGACAGCTGGACTTTGAAGAACTTGTTCAGTACCTTCGAGGCCATGAGAAGGAGCTGAAACTCGTTTTGAAGAGTCTGGACAAGAAAAGCCATGGTAGGAACATAAGAAATTTGCAGATGAGAGGAGGCTGTTTGGCCCATCAAGCTCGTTTGGTGGGGACTCCCTCTCCCGAACCTAATGATCCTCACTGACCATGTTGCGTGGGGGACTGTGTACCTGTGATCTCACTGCCCGCTTTAGTGAAGGACTTTTCTTTTGAAGGTCGCATTGGCTCCCAGGAGGTCATGCAGTCTCTCCAGGACCTCGGAGTACGTGTTTCCCAGCAGCAGGCCGAAAAGATACTGAAGAGGTGAGCCTGAACAAAGATCTAGACCACCTCTATATACTCCTTGCTGCTTCGGTGCAGCATATGTTTCATAAGGCTTAAATTGGGGGGAGAGGGGTTTAAATGCTACCCTGAACCTTGATATGCACCTTGCCTGAATACTTTGTCGATGCCCTGTGTGTGATGGCAGCACCTTGCAGTCAACCAGGGGCGACTGCCAGGACTGTGGAGATCAGCTGTTCATCTCATCTTCTCACCTCTTTTTGCACAGCATGGATAAGAACGGCACAATGACGATCGACTGGAGCGAATGGAGGAGCTCCTCCGTGCAGGCTGTGGACAGCGTACCTGAGATCATCCTCTACTGGAAACACTCCACAGTAAGAGGCCCTGCATCAGCAGAGGGGTGTGGGGCGCAGTGATTCCTGGGCAGTCCAGCGCCATAGTACTGTTAGCTGTTCGTGCTGTTAGTCGTTACTGCTGAGCCAGGAAATTAAGTCTGCTCTGTATTCGTTAATCACATTATTTTTGTCATGTGGGACTTGGTACTGTATTAAGACTTTTTGGGTCAAATACTGTGCCTCTTGCATGCTTGAAGGAAAGTTTAAAAATAACTCTCTCCTGAGATGGGCTGGTCTGGCATGACGTTCTGGGATTAGAATGCACCTTGAATTGTGCCTTCTGCCCATTACTGCATCTATGAAAAAAGCACACGGGCTGCAGTGATAACTGTTAGTTCCCTGGCCAGAGGGAGGGGCTGGCTACAGTGAGGGAACATTTTACTCTTAAATCATGAGGCCCCTGCTCTTATCTGCCTCTGACAGCTTGCCACTGTCACATGAGTAGGCAGGGTGAATTTCAGCAGAAGGCCCCTCCCTCTTATCATAGGAAGGTCACAGGGTCGTGTCACTTCCCGACCCCATTTAGTGTTGTATAATTTGCTCGGTGACTAATGAGGCCGTGCCCTTAGACGGCAGGGTCGGCCGTCTGCTTAGATTTCGCAAGCTCTGCATTCAGGTCCCCTGTGGTTTTGGAGCAATGTAATGCACCAGGAAAATGTATCTAGACATCTGCAGCCTGCACAGGTTAAATCTGGTCAAATGTAGCTTCGTATTCTAGCCTTCTGTTTGCTGCAACTCTGTTACAAAGACATACAGCGTTTGGGGGTTTTTGTTTTGTTTCAGGGATTTTGCTCACTTCTCTCCTCTACTTCCTCCTAGATATTTGACATCGGCGAGAACCTGATGGTGCCAGATGAGTTCACAGTAGAGGAAAGGATGATGGGGATGTGGTGGCGCCAACTGGTGGCTGGGGGAGGAGCTGGTGCGGTCTCTCGAACCTGCACCGCCCCCCTCGACCGTCTCAAAGTCCTCATGCAGGTGAGGTTTCACACTCTGTACCAGTAACCACCTGCCCTGCACATCATCCTCTCTCGTCACGCCTTTAGAAAGCCGGCATGGTGCGGTTCCCCTGTTGAAATAGAAATTGCCCAAGAGCCATAAATGTTAATGAATAATTTTTTTTTTTGGTTTAAAAGTCACAAGTAGACTAACCAATGGGAGAACTGGAGGTCCAGCACACCTTCCCAGATATCTGATTAGACCTTGGATCAAGGCCAATCTGACGTCAGTCTCCGCTGGCCGTAGCCGGTCTGCACCTGCTCTGGCTCACATGTGTGGACTCTGGCCGAAGCCGTGTCCATTTTTTTTTTCCTGCAATTCTTCTCTGACCTTTACCTTTGTGCCTCAATTTTGAAAGACTGACTGCCATGCCTGCTGACCTTTTGTCTAGCTGTGAGAACCTGGTCCTGGCACAGTTTAGATCAGAGTCCTGTTCCTGGTCAGACTGCCTGTGTGTGGAACCCCTGCAGGAGCTGATGGTTGGACCCCTGGCTAGATGGTTCCTCTAACTGTTCTTGTTTCTCTGGATTTCAGGTCCATGGATGCCGGAGCAACAACCTGTGCATCATTGGGGGGCTGACTCAGATGGTCCGAGAAGGTGGGATGCGGTCCCTGTGGCGGGGCAACGGTGTCAATGTCCTCAAGATCGCGCCCGAGTCGGCCATCAAGTTCATGGCTTATGAGCAGGTGTGATGTGCGAGGGGGGGTCGTACTGATCTCTCAGCACATGGTCCAGCTGTGATTTTTGTCCTGGGTTCTTTTTTCTAAATTCTCTCTCCTTCCTACAGATCAAACGCTTGATGGGAAGCGACCAGCAGTCGATAGGGATCCCAGAGCGGTTTGTCGCCGGCTCTCTGGCTGGTGTCATTGCCCAGAGCAGTATCTACCCTATGGAGGTTCTGAAGACTCGGCTAGCCCTCAGAAAAACTGCCCAGTACTCTGGCATCAGCGACTGCGCCAAGCACATCTTCCGGAAGGAGGGCGTGGCCGCATTTTACAAGGGCTACATCCCTAACATGCTGGGCATCATTCCCTACGCTGGCATCGACCTGGCCGTGTACGAGGTGAGCGGATTGGCTCTCTTAGCCACCCCCACTCCCTCATCGCACCCCACCCCACCTCACCCCCCCTGACCCATTTGTTGTGCTGATCATGCCTTCTTCTTCCCTCCCCTGAAGACCCTAAAGAACTCCTGGCTACAGCAGTATGCCAAGGACAGCTCAGACCCCGGCGTCTTCGTCCTGCTCGCTTGCGGAACCATCTCGAGCACATGTGGCCAGCTGGCTAGCTATCCCTTGGCGCTGGTCCGGACGCGCATGCAGGCACAAGGTGAGCCTGGGGATCCTTGATGTGGTGCTCCGTCTCCAGCTGGGCTTTTTCCAGTGTTTGTGGTGGGACGTGCTACTGTCCCTCACTGATTTATTTCTAATTTCCTCTCGTTTTATCTCTCCATTTCAGCCACGTCAGAGGGCAGCCCTCGCATGACCATGACAGGTCTCTTCCGGCACATCCTCAGCACAGAGGGCCCCTCTGGCCTCTACCGAGGCCTGACCCCCAACTTCATGAAGGTCATTCCTGCCGTCAGCATCAGCTATGTGGTCTATGAGCACCTGAAGGCAACCCTCGGTGTACAGTCGCGGTGAGGAGGCCAGCGCCACCTGCTGGACACTGGCGGTGAAGGCCGCTGGAAGGACTGAGGAATCCTGGGAGGGCCTGGGGTTTGTGTGGACACTTCATTCTGTGAATGCCTGAAAGATAAGGGAGATGCAGATCAATGCTAAAAAGACTGAAAGCTGCTGATGATGTGACCTCAGGGGCTGTGAGCGGAGGGACAAGGCTTCCGGTTTGTCTGTCGTCGTTCTTGTGGTAGTTTAACTGCTCACTGGTTTGGAGTGGTGCCTTATTTTAAGGGCTGCAGCTGTCATCATTTTTGACAGGATAATTAATAAGCTTCTAACAGGCAGTTATTGAGACATTTCTGCCTTTTTCATAAAAGGTGAGCAAATGCTGACTTAAACTGGGACCAGACTAGTATCTGTTCGCTTCTGCGCAGTGCTTGGCTTCTGACTAAAACTGATGTCCAAAGCACTGTTTAGTTTTCCAGTGTTTGTTCTGTGATTGTCTTTCTCGTTGTGTTTTAATATTTCATCACTTAAGATTTATGTATTGTTTCCCTCCAAGGGAAAATGGTCTAATTCTACGACTGAATTAACTTAGTCTCTCAATCGTTTACAAGGGTGTTTGTCGTGAGTGCTTCTGGCTTTAATAACTGAGCAGTCAGCCACGATCTTCCAGGACAGGGACAATATTTTGCTACTGGAGTTTTATAGAAGTATTTTTTCTAATTGGCTATTTACAGGGTAATATTTCACAGGTGTTGAAATCGACTTTGTTGTTCTTAATAACTTCTATGCTTCACAGATTATTTTGTGCCTCACAGGACTTTATACACCGGTAAAATGGAATGCTATGTTTTGGTTTTAATTTTAAAGGTTATGTATAATTAACATCTTATTTAGTAGTTTCACTGATGCTTCCATTGTATTGCAAGTTAAACTTTTTATAATTTTACTTAGTTTCTGGGTCAAGTCATGCAATGGATGTGGGGGCTTTGTACAGTATTTTATTTAAACACCACAGTATCCAGACAGGACATGTGGGTTCCTGATGTCACTCACCCAGCTGTGAAACTGCACCTTTGAACCACTGAATGCCACCCTGTTGTAAGCAAGTGTTCTCTGCGGATTTCCACACAGCCATGATAAGAGGCTTCTGATTGTATGACACGTATGTTTTATGATTCTGAAACACTTTTTTTGCACTTTAATCTCAAACGAAAATAAGGCGGCTTTAGAAACTTTGGAATATCTGTAACCTCCCTCAGAAATTAAACCTGCCTTATTCTTGTTTGTCCTAAGCTGTGTGGAGAGCAATGTGGACAGAATATGAGAATTCCACTATGATGGATAGTCAGTCAAAAACTGGGAATGTATTTAACTACTTTGTGAATTGATTCTCTAAATGTCTCCTCCCCCAGAGATGTCAATTACTTCTCTACCTCTTCCCTTCACCCTGAATTTCTACTTAGGCCATGTTGTAAACTTCATAATTAAGTACCCCATCTGTTTAGAAGTTAGTCTGTCTTATGCATTAAATCCAGTTGTATGAAAGCTGTTGTACTTTTAATGATGATGTATGAAGACTAAGATGATGCTGCTTTTCTGAATGTAAGTAAAGGAATGAATGGCATGCAAATGAATATTTATGGTTCTTAAATAAAAATGAATTTGCACAACTATCCAAGTTTGATTTGTCACGTACGTTACAGGGAACATGGTGACATTTTTATTATGGAGTTCCAAAGTAGGCCGTGGGGGATAGGACAACGGAAGTACCGTGTAAGATAAGACAGTCTAGAACAGGGAGGGCCAATGATATCCGCAAAGGGCTGGTGTGTATGCGGGTTTTCGCTGCAACTCCCTAATTAGATTACTAATTAGAGGACTGATTGGCTGAAGAGTCTTCACACCTGGGTTTGAACAGCTGACCTACAGGTTATCCCAAAAACCTGCATACACACCGGCCCTTTGCGGATAAGATCGGCCACCCCTGGTCTAGGACAAACGTGGGTTTCCTCTAGGTACTCTGGTTTTCTCATACAGTCCAAAGGCTCACAGTCACCACACAGGGAGTAAGTGTAGCCCGGCCATATGCTCTATTATGCCTGGTTAAGCGATTAGAAAATGGATGGAAAGCTTACCATTGACATGCTACTCGCTCACGTACTGTAATTCCACGCATCTGCAAGCTGTGAAACGATTTTACGTTACAATTACTGGAGTAAATCAGAAAGACAGGAGTGCGGATCAAAGACAACAATATATATATATATATAAAAGATTGTAACAAAGCTTTGCTGAAATCGCTTATTTCGCTTTCCTACTCGTGATAATTGAAGCAGAGACATGTACATTTTCATGCGACTGAATTTGGGGTTTATTTGTAGAACTGCGTGTTTGGGATTCCCACGGCCGGATCTGGGGAAACGGATGAAGCGTTTCACTTCAGCTGATTACATAAAATACAAACATCCAGCGTAAAACCCAGCAAAACCACAACCAAGTCAAAGCGGAAATTGAATAATTCCAAATAATCCGTATCGTAAGTTTTTGGTTCCTAGAAGAAATGCGTCTGAAACCCGCGTCGTATCACCTCTACACTGAGCTATATATAAAAATGTAGTTGACAGTTTCACCAACGTTATTAATCCCTATTTATGCCTACAACCACGTTCATTTAAATATGGTAAGGAGTGAATGAAGCCATACTCCGTCAGATCTCGTGATCCAGCCCCAAAGCCTGATCTGCGGCGCTTTCGCGACTCGCTCTTCAGGCGCAAATACTTTCACGTAATGGCGGAACCGTCCGAAAAGCCAGCGCGGAACAGGGAAGTGCAACTAAAGAAACCCGGTGCCCGATCGCAAAAAGACGAGCTTATATAGGCACAGAAAGGCTACGGGCACCGTTCCTCACTGCTCATTTAATTCTGTGGCGGGTGGCGGGTGGCGGGGGACGGGGGTGGCTGCGTAATGACTACTTGCTGATGGCGTGCTGCATACTTTCCGTTTCGGCTTTATAGTCAACATATTTTTAAGGACGGGTTAGACTGGTTATGTAGTAACCGTGTTTACTGGACATGGTGGTTTGCTTCGCCGAGGTGCGATTCTTGCTCATGAACGCCGCGGTGGTTAAAAATGCGCTCAGCACCGGCGTCCTGGTCCGGGCAGCGTACATTACACTGACATGGCTCACAACGCTGGTCCTCTTCCTCCAGGACACGGGTGAGTGAAACAGCTGCTTTTCCCGAGGGAATTATGGATGCATAGTTTGGGTGGTTTTCTTTCAGCGTACTGTAAAAATGGCTTTCTGTTATATTAAGTACATTCCTGCAATACAAGTCACACTTGCGATGTTGGGTGTAGAGCTTACAAGTTGTAGGGTTAGATTCCAAGGGAAACTGATTTCAGGTTTTGACGGGTTTAGTTTAGTACCACTAGTTTTCATCGTAATGAATGAGTACGTGTGTGAAGATTAGGTAGAAGTAGCACTCGCGACTAAGTAAATCAGACCCTGTCTTTTAACAATGGCTGTTGTCTGCAGCCACGCCTCAGTAATACTACTAAATCTAATGGTTAGAGAGATAATGATCTAATGAGAGTCTAATCAAACCAAGTATCAGTGCAGCTGGGAGCCGAGTGTCGAGTAGGGGGATTATCTCGAGGGGTTATAGTTAGGGTCAGGGTATCAGATAAGTTATAAACCCCTCCCACATTTCGCCTCCTACTGGACATTCAGCTCCTGGTGGCAGCGACATACGTCTCGATCAAGCAGCCCACCCGAAGCCAAAGCCCGCCGAACTGCCAATCCACTATATGCACACGGGGGTGCTGACGTATTTCCGGTAAAGTCTCAGCCAGCCTAATCACTTCCGTTATGCATACGTTTGATAGATGGATGGATAGATAAATACATTTATTGCCATTTGCACAGGTACCTTGGAATTCTTGTGTGTAGCTCACAGTTAGCTTTCAAGATAGAAAGTAAGAAGTGAAAAATAATAATAGAAATAATACAAATAAAAAATACACTATAAAAAGAAAGGACTCTAGATTATTTATGTAGAGGATGGGGGGGTGGTAGAGGTAGTAAGATTTGATGAGTCCAGAACCTGAAGTGTGCATGTATATTGTTAAATGTCAATGTTATGCGTTTGAGGGTATGATATCTGACCATGGCTGGGCATAGTGATTCATTGGCCTGTGAAATCTCAAATTGTGACCAGATTCCCTGCATATGAACAGGGGATGAGCTGGGCGGCAGTGATCTCTAAGGATGCGTTGTGCCTTCTTCCAGTGCAGTTACTGTATTTTTGTCATAAATGTCACAGAAAAATAAGTTTAAGTTTACCGTAACTTTAAGTAATTCACACCCCAGTCCAGCTGGTGGCAAGTGAGCATATTAATGTCACAGCAGCTGAATATGGAGCGGATTTTGTGCCACCTTGAAATGCAAACACGACTCAGGCATGCGGGGGAAAACAATCGACACGACGCCGTGTTGTTTTACAGTCCGCAGCACGCAAAAACCGTGCCATGTGGAAATGCAGTGCACAAGAGGCAGTGCTTTTCAGTGAGTATTATTAAGATAACATAACGATGAAAAGCAAAACCATCATTTCATTGATTTGCATGTTCAAGTAACTTCCAGAAAAAACAATTAGAAGGGATTACATTACACGCAATTTAACAATGAAAATGGACCACATCACACCGAAATGCAATGACCAACTTTGCTCTGCTGCATCAGCTCGTTTTTGAAAAGCACATGCTGAGATCGTGCCACCAGGAAATCACTGTCCAATCACAGCTCTTTAGCAAGCGGACTGAGACAATCACTCAATATCTAATTGATGAGGTGACAGGCATTACACAACAGGCTACGACCACGGCCACTGCACCCCAGCGTACACAAACAGCTGCCTGACTCGGAATGCGGAAGAGAGGGTACATATAGCAGATCACATACCACCTTTGGTGGCAGCAGCTGCAACTTCAGGGCTCCTACAGTCCTCCACAATCATATTGCCCCCCCCAGGGAAGCCGCCACAGCAACAACAATAGCAACCACAACAACAAGGACCTATAAAGAAAACTATTCCCATTCCCGAGACTGGCACGCTACGAAATATAGTAGATATATACACTACATTAATATTTGCTTCTCCGACACATCACATAAAATATAATGTGATTCTTTTCTCGTCCTGGCAGATTTGCGGAGGCAGGAGCAGAGCGGCGACTTGCTGCAGCCTGGCCTCTTCCTCCTGTTGGTGCTGCTGTCGGTGCTGCTGTACCTGGGGGTGTCCCTCATGGACCCGGGGTTCGTGCGCTCCGACGCTGGGCCGGAGGTCAGTGGCTTCCGGCGGTGTGTCCACATTTCACTGTCGCCTGACGGCGGCGCTGATCTGCCTCTGGCTGGTGTTTCAGCTCTCCGCCGGAGTGTCTGAGGAGCTGCACCAGATGCTCCCGCAGCCTTGCAGGCGGCGCTGTGGCCGCTGTCTGCTGCAGGTACGGGTGCGGCTGGGGTGGGGAGGTGCCTAGCAGGTTCCTTTAGGCAGGTTTCTGAGTGCTGGGTGTCAATGACGGAACCTCCCACTTTAATAACACCTTTCACGTTTCAAGTCGTCCGAAAATAAAACACCAAGCATAATAAACCCTGAAGTATCTAAGCAACAGTGATTTCATGTTTCTGTATTTTTTTTTTAATCTTGTCCTTTTTATGGCTATTGTTAGGCATTTTTTAAATCAAAATACAATCTTTACTTGCTATATTTCTCAGGGTTTAAATATAGTGTGTTTTTCTTTAAAAAACCAAAAACAGACTGCTGTTCCCTTGAGTCCTGTATCCTGCAGTGACCTGGCCCAGTGAGTCCCCGTCTAGGCTGCTAACGTGCATGTGCTGCTGTCCCTGTTCACCCTCCGATCTGAGCAGCAGCCCATGAGGTCCCGGCACTGCCAGACGTGCCGGCACTGCGTGCGGCGTTTTGACCACCACTGTCCTTGGATCGAAAACTGCGTTGGTGAGAGGAACCACCGCTGGTTTGTCCTTTACCTGGCGGTGCAGCTGCTTGTGCTGCTCTGGGGCCTCCGAGCGGCCTGGTGAGTGGGGGTCTCTCTGCTGAAATTGTTCTTGGGGGGGGTGGCAGGGGAGAGAGAGTTTTTTGCTGAAAAATAGGGGTACTGGGAGTTAAGCAGTGTCCCTCCATGTGGTTTAATTGTAAACACACTGGGACAGTACCTGTCAGTTTGGTTGTCAGCTGCTTTCTGTGACTAAACCCATTTTTGGTGGATCAGCTCGGGGTTTGTTCAAGCCCCCGCCTGGGGACAGTGGCTGGAGCAGAACGGCTTGCTGATGCTGGCATCCTCTGCGACGGGCATCTTCTCCGTGGTGGTGGTTCTGTTGCTGGGCTCGCACCTCTACCTGATCTCCCTCAACACCACCACCTGGGAATTCATGTCAAGGCACCGCATCTCCTACCTCAAGCACTGCGGTGACGAGAACCCCTTCGACCGCGGAATCCTTCGGAACCTGTGGGAGTTCTTCTGCGTACGCCGTGTGATTGCCTGGGAGGAGGCTTATGCCAAAATCAGTGCCAGCCCTGCCTAGACCCCCCCCTCAGATAGACCTCCCCGCTTGTCTCTTACTGCCTCTACTGAGGCTAGACCCTTGGGACATTGTGATGGGATGATGGGAAGCGCTCCGGGTCCGTCTTCTGCCTCACTGTCATCTTACTTTTGAGAACAGAAACTTTACCATGTCACCATAGTAAGGCCTGCTGTACTGACAGGGATTAGCTTTGCTATGGTGTTTGGAGGTAAAGGTGGTCATGTACCTAAAAACAAGTAGAGAAACCTCTACACTAAGTTACGTGATAAGGCCATTTTAAGGAGAGAGCTGGCTAACTTGCTTCTAGCCATTTACAGTTTAAATCTTGGCATCATGAGTTGTCTTAAAGACAAGGAAGCCTGATCCCAGCAAATGCCGACATGTGATTTCCTATCCACGTAGTGACCAAATTTTCAGTAATTATAGCATAGAGGCATAAAGAACCAGAGTTGTGTATGAATGTCAGGTATTTTAAGTACTTCGGTCTGTGCCTTATGGCCTGAATGGCATTTGTAACCTTTAGAGGGATTTTAAAGACATTTTCACCCCTCAGTAACTCTGACCACATAGACTGAGATTCATTCCAACAGTCTGACCCTTTTCTGGATAAAATACCATTTTTAGGATCACACTTGTGCCCTAAGAGTTAACTCTGTGTTAAATACTCAATTGTCTGAGTTATTAGTTTTTTGTTTTTAAAATTACTTTTTTACTAGCAAAATAAATTGTAACTCTTCCCCCCTGTGTTTACAAGCATTTTTTAATCTCAGCAGACTTGCCACTCCCAAAGTGAGAAGCTTTATTAATGGACACAGGATGCAGGTCTGAGATATTGATCATATCATCATCATCATCATCAGATTTAGAAAGTCTCTCTCCCTTCCCTTTCCCTATAAATTGTTGTAGTAGGTAACCACATGCATTCATTACACAGTCAGCAGCTGTCAGAGTGATGTGCAAAAGTAAATCATCCCGACAAACTGTGCTGCCGCATGGCGGTCCGGGTGTGCGGCTTTCCAGTGTGATCAGGGTGACGGCCTTCATGGCGGGACGCTCGGGAATACAGGCAGTGTCCAGCGTTTCAGCCATCCTCCCCTTCACGGGTTGGCAGCGCCGGCGTGCGAGAGCCAGTGGAAAGCCGTCTGCAGGCTTACACGTGGCACATGGCTGTCTCCTTCATCTCATATGGTCCCATGTCTGCATGGGGTCCGGTCCATGGGCACAACTTAGCAGTGTGATAGAGGCACTTCTTAATTCAATCGGATACCCACCCTTAACTAACGTTTCACTTAAATATAATATAGAATTCTTATATATATAATATATACACAGATACAGTACATACACATCAAGGTATAAACTGATGCTAATTGGTATTCTGCAGTGGCCAGTTCCCGCTGTAGGTCTTATGGTCTGTCATCTGATTCCTTTGTTGGCCACAAAGCTATCAGGATAAAAGCTACAGCAGGAGGAAGACGAATGCAACATGAAAATAATTAAAGCTCTTTAGCTACAGGGAGCATCTTTGGGGCAGAGTACAGGGGTGAGACCTGCTTGTTTCAGCTTTCTGTGTGAAGGCGAGTGACTCCGCTCTGCTCTCTGACTCCCATGCGGTGATGGGACTTCATTTCAGGGTCATGAGGAGAACCAACCCAAGTAAAGCCATACAGTGCGAACAAGCAAACCTATGGTTATGTGAACAGAAAGTGTTTTCCTTAGAGCCATCTTAAAATGGTCCAGGAGATTCATGGGAGAATGATATATACAATATTAAAAATAAAGTGTAGAAAAACATTTTGTTCTTGGCACAAATGCTCAAAAACATCCCACCGTCCCTGATAGTCGGTCAGGGCAAGAAGGTGAAGAGACCCAAGGTTCTAGTGACAGAGACAGGACAGAGACCTCCCGTAGCAACCACAGCCTCCATTTCTGCGGATACCTCATCTTCTCCTGCCCATGCTGACAGCACAGGATGTATGGAAGAACCTAAAGTCGGTGTGTTGAGGGATTTGTGCAGGTATGCGCACACATACATGCACGCGTACACACACGGGACGGGTCAGCGCTTAGCAGCTGGGACTGCGGCTAGGTCGTGCCCGGAGACTGCCCTCAGTTGAGCGCTGAGAAGTCAAAGTCGGTGAAGACCCCCTGCTGCTTGGCCGTGAGGGTGCAGGGGGTCCGCGGGGGCGTCAGGACGGGCCGGAGGCTGGTGAACTCCTCGTCGAAGTTGCTCACGTCCGTGGCCCCCTTGATGGACGGCACAAACGGTGGCTTCACTTTCTTGGCCAGAAGGGCTTCCCAGTTAATCGCCTGAAGAACCAAAAAGTGGGTGGAATGGGATTAAGGTGGAAAAAAGAGCCAATTTCTCATCAAGTAGCACAAGTGACATCAACAGGAACAGAGCAAAGCTTGGTTTACTGACCACTACATTAACATTAGAACTGCTGCTTCCCACGCCAATGGACGTCAAACTCCTTTAACCACCAAGCAAGGCGCAGTTCGGCGAATGCAGCCCTTTGGTTTACGCTGATGTGCTGTTAGTGTTAATAGCAGCGAATCTAACACCCTAAACCAAAAAGCCTGTTCTGCTGCTCTGTCCTGAAAGTTTTCAAACACAGTGTGCATTTTATAAACCGTTGAATAAATAGTTTATTGGCGATTTCATGTTCGTCGAAGTTTCCTCCTTTTAACAAGTGTATAAAGTAACATTTTATACAAATCAACCCAGGTGAAACAAAAATGTGCGTTCTATTTTAAATGAATTGCAAAATGCACCATATTCAGCTGAAGTGGCTTGCCCATAGCCAACTGTAAGACAGATTAAAGTAATACATTTTTGGTATTTATGTTAAAGTGAGGCTTTTATTTCATTACCAATGTGGAATTATGATTAATTTCACAAGAGTAATCTATTGAAACCAATACTTGTATCGATGAACACAAAAACATGACAAACACGAATGTATATTATGAGTTTTACGGCATTTTTGGGGAAACAGTAGCTGCTGCTGTGATGATTACCGACTGTCCCATTGTTTCCTGATAGGTGAGCATGATGGCCCATTAACAAAAATGAAAGGTGTGATATGGCGAAGTACGTCGCTGCTGGTGTTAAAGGAGGTCGAAAAAACGCTGGCGGTTCTAGTGTTAAACGAGCTTAAGGTAATCTCTACTTGGCTGAAGAGATGCAGAGGTACGTAGTCTGGGTCCAGAAAGTAAAAACCAACCAGTTGAGTACTCTGTGACTGTGACTCTTTATACTCAACTGGTTGGCTGAAACAAAATCTTAGTCTGGATTTTTGCTTTCTGGACCTGAACTTTCCATCTCTGAAGAGAAGTAGAGTCCAGGGCGGTGAGGAGAGTCGGAGGTAGAGGTACCTGGAAGAAGGGCTGCCTCTTCACCTCCGCAGCATCCTGCTCCCCGGCACCCAGCCTCTTCTCGGCGTTCTTCTCCAGCAACTGCAGGAAGTCAGGGGCGGGATTACATGTGTGATAAGGATCTGGCCTGTTCACCACAAGGTGTTCGATCACCTGTTAGGCTCTCTCGGGCCTTCAACCGTCATTTGGAAAACCAGCTGCTAGTTACTGTGATGCACATTACCAAAACGATGCACGTTAACAAAACGACACTCAACGGAAGAAAGGGATCGTTTCACTTGACGTTTACAACAAGTGGCAACTGAAACAATACTAATAAAAGCAGACAGCTGGTGACCAAGGACAGCAGCCAGAAGAGGAACTGCTGTTGGAAAGTACTGGAACGAAACACCCAACTGCCTAACAGTTATGGTAGATAAAAGGAAACATTAAGAAGAAATGCTGATGGCACGGTGCACATCAGAGACGTTCCTGCCGAGGACCACCGGGGGCACTGTGCTACCTTCTGCATGATGGAGACAGACTCCGGGGAGAGGAACTTGGGATATCGCACTTTGTCATTCACGATACTGTCAAACACCTCCTCCTCATCCTCACCAGGAAACGGGGACTGGTGACGACACACAGAGCGAGGTACAGGTTAGTGTATGCTTAAAACGTCTAAGTAAGCGCCCCTGGATGAACTGCGTCTGAGCCTGGACTGACCTCGCCCACCAGCATCTCGAAGAGGAGGACCCCCATGCCCCACCAGTCCACAGCACGGGTGTAGTTGTCCTCCGTCAGGACCTCTGGGGCCAGGAACTCTGGGGTGCCGCAGAAGGTGGACGTGCGGTCTCCATGGCCCATCCCTGAAGGGACACATGGTTTAGGAGTCAAGAACGTGGATCCCACTCACAGAAGCCGGCACGACGAGGATCGGCAAACGGCAAACCCATTACCTTCCTTGCAGAGCCCAAAGTCAGCGATTCTCACAAAACCATCTGCGTCCATCAGCAAGTTGTCCAACTTCAGGTCCCTGATTAGAGCAGATCAGGGGGGATGTGATCAGTGTCACACAAGCAGCCTGAAAATCAGCAATCAGACCTGCTCTGATGGATCAGCCTTGTCCTGCTCAAACCATCTACTCACCGATAAACTATTTTGTTTTGGTGCAGGAATTCGAGACCCAGTAACACACAAGCTGCATAAAACCTGTAAAGAAAACACAAGACACATCCCTTTAAAAACTGTACTAAATGTATCAGAAGAATCTATATATTAAGACAGCAGAGGCATGATTCAGCACGAAAGATTAGCAGCCAAATGCCCCTGTTTTATTTGGATCCTGACACAGACTGCTATAGGAAAACACAATGGATTTCCGTATGCTAACTGCCGCTAAGCTTCAGTTAGCTGTGTTATGTAGCGGTGACTCAACTGTAAGCAACATCAACAGGACAAAAACACAGGAACCCGAGCGGGGTGAAGCGAGTGATGAGGAGGCTGGGCGGGGCCAGGTAGAGCTCACCGGGCCTGCGGCTCCGAGAAGATGCTGGTGTGGATGTGGATCATGAGGTCTCCGCCAGGGGAGTACTCCATGACGAAGCACACATGCTCTGCCGTCTGGAAGCAGCCGTACAGGTTCACCAGGAAGGGGTGCCGCGAGGCATTGATGGTCTCGAAGATCCGCTTCTCGCACATCAGGCTGAGGANAGCTGCTTCACTACGTTCTTGGCACCCTCGGCCACAGCAGCCTCGATGCGGAGGTGGTGCCTCAAGTCGGCGATCCGCAACTCCGGAGGACTGCCCGGGTGCTGGGGGCCTCCTGCCAGGACACAGGGTACAGATACAGCAGCGGCGATGGGGGGGGGGGGGGGGGGGGGGGGTAGACAGACAGAGCCTCAGGTAGGTAGGACATCCCAAATACTACACAAATATCGCCTCCCCAAACTTTGGCCTACTCCAGTCTCAGAAATCCCCATAAGTTACATACATTAAATTACTCGCCATATGAATCAACTGAATTAAACAAGTAACTTTAAACTAATCCTGTGCTTAATTTAGTTAGGACAAGTTCCATCCATCCATCTTCCAATATAACCACAAGGGGGCAGCACAGGACACAAGGCAGGGTTACAGCCTGGACAGGATGTCAGTTCGTCACTGGACACAATCATACGCTGCGGGCAATTTTAAGATGCCATTGAGCCTAACTGCTTGACTTTGGACTATAATAGAACCTGCATGACACGGGTGCCAAGCCCCACCCCTGGAGGTGTGAGGTAACAGTCCAACCACTATAACAAAGAAGCTGAGATATTCGAATCATTCCAATCTTTCGCACAGGCTGCTCTATGCTGCTCTATGCTGCCCCTTGTGGCAGAATTCCAGCATGACACCGCGCACCTGTCCACCTCATCACGGGTCACAATATCGCCTTTCTTCAGTGCTTTAATGGCATACAGCTTTCTGTTCTCCTTATACTCTGCCAGCAGGACCTACAGAGAGAGAAAGGAGTTTCCCAATCATATAAATAAAACCACTGAACAACTCAACTGTTCTTCCATGAACACCTCAAACCGTCAAACATAACCTAGTGCCGCTGACTTGTTCTGTTGCAATGTTGGTTGCTTAGTAAATCTAGATGTGTTTTTGTAAATTGCACTAACATCTTTAATAGGTTCTCACTTGGGAGGTATTTGTGTGTTGCAATGTACATGTATTTGCCCACTTAATTACGAGTTCCTAGCATTTCTAATTACAATAGTGACCCTTTTAAAGCAGTGTTTGTATACCTACATTCCCCATGACTATCTTGCCCTGGTTTCTATGACTCACTGGAAGGTCATTCTACCAGCTATTGTACCGCATGTGATGTATTTACGTGCTTCACTTGAACGTCACTTTGGACACCAAATAAATAAACGCGTTAAAGGGAGTGAGGAACAGCAGAGAGGCCGGCACACGGCGGCGGGATAACGGCACCTTTCCGAAGTGTCCCCTTCCCAGGACAGAGATGCACCTGAAATCCTCCATTTGCAAGCCCTCCCTCTTTCTGATGGAGATAAAAAGAGGAAAGAGGCACATTAACACGCCGGCAATGGGGAAGCAGCCGGGACAGCCCCCTGCGGCAGCGGCAGCCCGCGGTACCTGGCGCTCCGTGATTTGGGTCCATTTCCCTCCTCTGGCTCCTCCGTGTGGTTCGGGGCTGAAGCCTGAAGTGTGCAGCCAGCAGGGAGATGGCAGTGAGACAGAGATGTGGCGGATCAGACGGCATCCAGAGGGATGTAAACGCAAAGCTGAGCCCAGCTGTGTATGTCACAGCATAGTTACAGGCTGTACATTTACCCAGGGAGTGGATGGTCTGTGAGATTTATGAAAAAAGGGAGCTACGTCTTTATTAGGGGCATCTGATTTTAATGAAAATTAATCAGAAAACACTAATTTAAATATCTATCTACATTTTTTTTTGGGAGGGGGGGGGGTATAGCGACGCCTCTGGGTCTGTGCCATAAAAGGCAGAGACTGGGAGAGATTTACATGAAGATGATAGTGACAGTGATAGTGATGATGTCATCACCTTGGACTGTGCAGGTGTCATTGCTGAAGGTGACAAAGGGGTATTCCCCATGTGGAGGCGCGGGGGCTTGGGTGGTCGGTCCTCGCTGAAGTTCAGCTTCCTCACCGGAAGCTCCCTGTGGGTGGGGTGGGGGGCCACAGAGACAGCATACACGCTAAACACAGAGAATGATAACAGCTCTGCTTGATAAGAAACCAGTCAGACTGTGTGGCTGTGGGTTGTGTCCCTGTGAGCTTTTGGCTTGCTGACACTGGTCTACCTCCAATAGATCTCAGTAGCTCTAGAATTAAACTGTGCTGAGGTCTGGACAGTCCTACCCCGGAGATGGGGGGCTCGACACAGCAGGCTTCTCCACTGGGGGAGGTGGCGTGACCTCGGGGTCAGAGGAGCCCGACAGCGGGGGGCTCAGCGTCGCCATGGAACTGCAAGGTGGCAGCATACTCATCATCAGACGCCCCCATGTGGCGAAGTTGATGTTCATCTGTGCAGCACGCAAAAAGTCCTTCCCTGAGTGAAAAATTGGATGATTAAGTATAAAAATATATTATGTTTAAAAAAAATTGCATGCAATTCTTCTGGGTACTTCTCTCCAGCAGTCTAAAAACACACACTGATGTGAATTGGTGTCTCTAAATAGTGTATGATTATGCAAGTGAGTGTGAGTGTAGCCCTGTGAAGGACTGTCATCCCATCCGGGGTGACCTGCGCCTTGTGCCCAGTGCATCATGGGATAGGCATCAGCATAACGGTTAAGTGGCTATGAAAGATGGCTGGATGCTTTATAATATAGAGAAAGGGTGTTCCTGTGAGTGCTTGTTATGCTGATTTGCATCTCCGAGAACATCACTCCGAGCCAGATTAGCGAGATGCAATGCCTTCCAGGAAAATGTCAGGTTTTATAGCTTTAGGTCAGGGACCTGACCCAAACAACATGTACAACTATGAAACATATTTAAAACTGTTGTTTGAACTGGACTTTTTTGTAAGAGGTCACTGTGTTTTATCAAACATCTGGAACACAGTATTCCCCCGAAACTGACAGCTGTAGATTTATTTTTCAGAATTAAAACATAGGACTGCAATAGGGGTCAGCGTGCCTACCTTTCTCCTTGGGAAAGATGCGTTTCTGCCTCTGAAGCTTGGACTGCCTCTCGATGACGGGGTTGACAAAGGTCACCTACACAGACCACACATGTGTGACAAGTCCATCTCTCCCCCCCCCCTCCCCGGAACGAGCACGTGGTCCGACCTGCTCACCTCTGTGAAGAGCACGCCCTGGGGCTCCATGCTTACGCACATCCCATGCCGCTGATTGTCCAGGAAGTCCTCCAGACGCAGGAATTTAACGGCACACAGCTCCCTCCAGTCCCTCCAGTACACGCTGATCTCCAGCTCCCGGGACTGGGAGGAGGTGCGGTCAGAGGTCATTCAGGGAAAAACATGGGTCACCTTGCTAGGGATGGCGAAAACTAAAAAATT